GCGCTGAGTGCCGCTGAGGCGGCGCGGTGTAGGGAGGGGAGCAGGTCTGCCCCGGCGCCTGGGGTCTGTCCTGGGGACGGGGTCTGTCCTGGGGGAAGGACAGGGTCTGTCCTGGGGATGGGGTCTGTCCTGGGGATGGGGTCTGTCCTGGGTACGGGGTCTGTCCTGGGGATGGGGTCTGTCCTGGGGACGGGGTCTGTCCTGGGGACGGGGTCTGTCCTGGTGGACGGGGTCTGTCCTGGGGACGGGGTCTGTCCTGGGGATGGGGTCTGTCCTGGGGATGGGGTCTGTCCTGGGGATGGGGTCTGTCCTGGTGGACGAGGTCTGTCCTGGGGGACGGGGTCTGTCCTGTCCTGCTAATGCTTGGAGCTGTACCCTCCTCCTCTTCTTGGTTTAATCTGAATTTGGAATCTGGTTTCTACCGACTTTGTAAAAAAAGCAACAGCTCCTGGACAAACGTTGTTCCTGAAGACGCTGCTTCAGTTGAAGTTTAGCAGCTCTCTGACCGTGGATGTCAAGCTGTTTGCTGACGTTGAACTTCCTCTGTCTCCTCAGGCTGCCCGTCTCTCACACCTGCTTCAACCAGATCTGTTTGCCTCCGTATCGAACGCGGAAGGAGCTCAAACACAAACTCACCATCGCCATCTCCAACGCCGAAGGCTTCGGCCTGGAGTGAAGGCCTGCGGACAGGAACACCAACAGACTGTCACTCTGCGTCTGCCGTGGATCTCTGTGGATCAGGAACTGAGCAGGTCCCTTTTTCTCCTGGTCAGACCGGAGCTTTAACCCAACAGCTGAACAACGGCTCAACAAATCACTTCATTTCCACATCAGCTCTGTTGGTTCTGCTTTAACAACCGATAAACGGAAACCAAATGGATCTGCAACACTGTGCAAAAGCTTTACTCAGTTTGCATGTTTATTTCCTCATTGCAGAGCAGAAACAGACGCTTCAGTCAGGAAACTCTGCCTGCCAAGTGCCTTAAAGAGAACCAACCAGCTGCCATTTTCTATCCGCTCCTGTTTTAGACCGATGGTAAAAACCTTTTGCAGTATTTTTAAAGTTTTGTTTTATTGATAAACCTTTTGCACAGTATTGTTGATGTTATCTGGGATATAAGTCTGACTAGTCTGATCAGTGAAAATAACGTTAAAAATTCTCGTTTTAATGTTGTAACACATGAAGTTTGTGTTGAAGTCAGAACAGTCCAATCATCAGAGGGTGAAAACGGTGGAGCCTCTAATGACAGACAGGATTGATTTTGCAGAAAGCAAACAGAAACGCCTGAAGACTAAACTGGACAGCATCCTCCTGTAATGGCTGGATCTGAACATGGCCTCCCAGTGGTTTAACTCTGAATGTGTTGCTGAAGGTTTACAAACCCTGATCAGTTTTTCAGAACAAACACAAAGATGAGAACCTTTTTGACATAAAGTATAAATGCCTCCAGCTTCAGAAGATGAAGATCTGGTGTAAAGTTAAACTAAAACATCTGAATAAACTCCTAAACTTTCATTTTATGATCTGCACACCTGATTCCATGTATTTAAATATGGCCGCCATACAGGAAGGCTAATTATTTATGTTGTCATTGTGTTTTCCAGTTGGTCTCATGCAACATGTTTTGCTTTTTGCAAAAAGCTCCCATTTCTGCTGCAACATTAACAGCAGAGGCTCCATCTTATTGTTTCTCAGGTATTGATTTGAATCGAGAATATTTTTTTCTGGTCCTGTTTATTCGGTTATGAACGGATTAATCAGGAGAATCGAGGTGTGGAGGTTTAACTGAAGCTAAAGCTCATGTAAGTAAGCTAGCTTGTTGGACATAACGGTGTTAACGTTTCCTGTCCTGACGTCTGACACTTTATGATTTCCACAAATGTTTTTTATTTGCTTTGTTTGCAACACACTGTTACGACTGAACGCTTTACTCTGAAGAAGCTTTTGTATATTACGAGACGTAGCTTGTGGCTTATTTCCTTTGACATTGCGGCCGGTTGGATTGAACGCAGGCTGCAGCAGAAGTGTTGCTTTGCGGTGTTTTGTGACGTTCAGGACCTGCAGACCGGCTGGAAGAGGAACCGTCTTCCAGATGGGCTGCTGAGTTTGTGTGTTTGGTGCTTTTAAATTATTACTCCTTGTTTCAGTCCGTCCAGTCCGGGTCCAACTGCACCGCCTCCAGATCGGTGTTGTCACTTTATCCACACCTTTCCAGTAACACCTTCCACTTATCGATCACTCAGACCAGTTCTGCCGACAACCCGACCTACTGACCCAGTTCTCTAAAGCTTCGGTTTGCCTCGCAGATCAAAACCTTGGATCTAGAAATTAATCGTCTTCCAGCTGCAGGTTGGAAAGTCAGGGATGCATTAATTATTTTATTAGATTGAACTAAAAAGAAAACCAGTTGAATACTTCAGTTCAAACTGTTTGTCTCTGTGAAGCGGCCATGTTGGATGTAGAGGTTGGTTTCTGACGGAAACATTAAAGTTGGGAGTTTAAATTCCAACATGGGGGTAAAAAATGCAGCATTACAGGATAACTTGAAAACATCCTGAGCTTGGATGACACATCTAAGTTTGGACAGTCTTCATATCAGTCACAATAACACCAGAGTCCAATATTAACCAATAATCCTGACATTATTTGAACGAAACTCAATAAATTCTCTGATAGATTGAAATGATCAACAAGGATTCCCAGTTTACCGTCTCCTAACTGGACCAACTGGATTTAAAATCACGTTTACTATCACTTCTGCGTTAAAGTCCAGATGTGAAACATCAGAACTTGTATCCGTTCCCCAAACACACCACTGATCTCATGCTATAGCGCTATAGTTAGTTAAATGCAGTTGGATATCACTGGTTAATTTTAACTACCGTGGCTAAAAGCGTCAAGTCCAGCAGGATGAACTCCAGTAACCAGCGGTGGTGGATCCGGTTCTGGCCCGGTTCTAATCTGGGTCTCTGGGAGGCTGCGGTCTGGAAAAGATCCTCACTCAACAACCCATTCAGTTTTCACCTCAGAGCTGCTTCTCCCCTCGTCTGCAGCCCAGAACGTTCAGCTGATTCTACCGTCTCTTTCGGTGTTGGTTCTAAATCTGCGGTGCTGTCTGGTCCAAAGTCCCACATAGCAAACTGAAGTATCCCGGCAACCGTCGAGAAACTTCTCTGGCTGCACTGTCCAAATTTACATGGCTGTAATCTGGGTCACTCATTCACTCAGCCAACAATGGATCCTCTATGTTATGTAATGATGGGGCTGGAGCTGCTCTCTGCTGAGAGACGGACCGGGCCAGAACCCCAGAACCGGGCCACCGGTTAAGGGCCGGACTCTGACATGACTCAGAAATGTGTTTGACTTTGACTCGGTTCTGTTGTACTTCAAATGGACCAAACTGTGTCAGGTTATACAGTGGAGGAGTGAAGACCCGTTTGAAAATAGTTCTGACTGGGTCCCGGGTTTGTTGAGATGTAATTATTTTCTCTGGTCAGGTGTTTAAATTAAACGCAGACGGATCGGAGGAGGAGCAGCTGGCCCGTGCTTGACCCGGTTTGTAAACCCGCTGTGGCTTTTGTTGCTGTGTAATGTACGATGATGTGACTCCACAGATATTTGCAATAAACCCAAACGAAGGCTCACGCCTCCTGATAACGGCGCCTGCTGAACGTGTTTCATTTGTTTGAGTCGGTGGTGAAACGTCAGATAGAGGAAAGAGACCGAGTCTGACGCTTTATTCTGAAAGTCTGAGAAGAAAATTGATTATAAGGCTGAAGGGTGAAGTTAGGTTACATCCTGCAGATGCATTTTTTAATCTTTAAAAAGTAGTGGCCACTCATGAAGGGACGGTGGCTCAAGCTTTATAATAAATGCTGTTTTATTTTTTCCACTCTTTCTTGTTGAATCCTGCTGGTGCTGAACGGTGACCCGGTTGGTATCTCTGTTCCTGTGCAGCAAACATGTTGTCCACTTTACGTCTCAGCAGTTTTACATCCCTTCACCCAGCAGGGGGCCCCAGCAGGGCCCCATCAGGGCCCGGATGTTACAGCAACAGAACCGTGAGTCTGTCTGCCTGGTTCTGCTGTGACCTTCTCGTCCTTCTGACCTCTGCTGTCTTTGGGTTCTGTGTGTTGCAGACCTTCTCTCTTCT